CACGTACACACGTACACGATTATTGCTTGTAGTTCAGATATTGGTTTTAACCTGCGAATCCTTGTTGGTAACTTAGTGCGATAACACAATGTCTGGTAGTACGCCGAAAGATTCGTCGCTTCTACACCTGTATACCTATAATATTCTGTGTATCTATAATAATCTATAAACGTGTACACGTTTAGGTACATATTGTGCGCATACGAATTAGAGCTATCGCTTTTTCGATTTCATTGATATATATTCAGCGTGGCATACGCGCGTATATCGAGTAGTGTTTTTTTAGTATCTTTATCTATTTATATAAATATATGTACATACGTATAGACATATCGGTGTGTATCACTGTATATTTATCGTTACTCGTCGTTAGATAGATGTCACAACCTAACACACTTTTCTCTAACATCGCTCTCTACCAAAGGAATGTTCGTCTTTGCGAGATGTATTGTCGTGCCACACCGATAATAATCGTAGATCAGTATGTAATCGCTAAACTCGACCAACCGTTCCCGATCCCCCATTCGTTTTAGAAGCTATGTTGCGTCCACCCAACCGCAAAATAGTCGTCTACGAGCAGTCGAACGATCCTGCTCGCATCCCGGTTCCCGAAACGATTCGAGAGATCTGATCAAGATCGACTTCGTCGTCATCCAAACGCGTCATTCCCTCTTCCACAGACCTCCCCGAGCCCCGTCCGTCCCTTTCACGATCCCCCGTCTCTGCTTTGATTCGGAAATGGAGAAAACAAGCATCCGACGATTTTCGCAGGCCCTCGACGACCGTTTTCGGCGAAGAGGATCAGAGGGAGGAGGGTGGAAAATGAGTTAGAGGCGCGCGGATGATCATCGGCGAGCACGAGACCGGGACCGAGAACATTCCTGTTCCTCTGTCTGTTTGTTTTCAAAGATGCAGGTACGAACCGGCCAGGTTGATGGATCACCGAGTGCGAACACGAACGACCGCAGAGCAACGGTGACCGGGCAACGGTGTATTGTCTCTCGTGAGTCCCTAATTACCGAAACTCTTTGTCGCAAAGCTCGGCTACAGAGAGAAAGGCGATCGGAAAGGGCCGGGAACGTTTGCCCTTAGCTCCTCGTCGCCGTCCTCCCTCGTCTCGCTCATCGACTCTTTCCCGCCGTAGTAGCTAGCTAGGCAGCAGAGATTCTCGCCGTTCCGTCCCTACATTTTTAATTAAGCCGAGAAACGTCTAATCTTTTCGGAACGACGGTTTCGCAGTCGTCTCACAATAGCAGGGAATGAGCGGACGCGCTTCCGTTGAAATTTTAATTCGCGAGATCAGGATAAGCAAACGTCGCACATTCCACGTGCGGAAAATCTCGCGAGAAACCTTCACTCTTTCCGCGCCTTTCTCTCCTCGCCCGTTTCTCTTTCTTTCCGTTATCTCTCGCGAGTAGAAAATGAGGAAAACGCGTATCATCCTGAACCGACCTAGTTCGCTAAACACCGTTAGGTAAACTTAGGATATTTCTGTACCAGATATAACAGCTAGCATATGCCACCTTTCTCTTCGCGCTCCCTAACTTTTAACCCCCTTTACCTTTCTCCCGGTCACGTACACTAAGTGCATAAATGCGCCTGCAGCTTGCGACGTATGCGTGCGTGAAAAATGGTAGCAAGAATATCCGACCGGTTATATTCGGTGCGAAAGGTAACAAAAGAGAAGGTCGGCGATATAAATCGCCGGCACGGTATCCGACTTGACGGACGTCGAAGAACCGGTTGCCTTCAGCGGATTTTAGTCGATTAATCGCGCGGCGTTCTAATCTCTTGGAATTAGGGCCGTGGGTGCACGATCGCGGACGGACAAAAATTGCCTACCTCCGTTAGAATCTAGCTTGCACGAATTTCTCGTTAAAAGAGCAAATCGGGCGAGCTAATTCGAAAATTACCACCCGCGTTCGTTCTCCTTTCCACTGAATAGATAGATGAAATATCCTAACGCGCGGAGTAGTACAGCGGCTAAGAATTCACGTAATTTGTTTTACGTTTTTATATCCCGTAGCTTATTTATAATAGAAGCGAACAAACGTGACTGTTCCTTGAAAGATTGGAAGAGCAGTCTTGGGGAGAGCATAAATGAACCGCATAAAAGAAGGACCGCGTTTCAAGAGAACAGGGCGTACGATCGGGGGTGAATAGGAAGATCGAAGTGATAACGGGTGCTCCGTGATCGAGAAGAGCGTCACCTCGAGATCCGCGATTGAGCAGAGACCCCGTGTGCGTCACGTAGGAATAACTGAATCCTTTCCGATCTGCGTGAGATAACAGACAAACGGGAAAGGAAACAAAGAAGATACTCGAAGTCTACGAGCACGTTTCTGTTTAATTCTAATTGGAAAGATGTCTCGATTAAGAGAAAAACAATTTTGCATAGCTAATTATGCAAAAGCTCGATCGGTCCTTTTCGGAGTTTTCAATCGCGGACAATCGTGATAAGTACGGAATAATATATGTTCTTTTGAAAAAGTGGTCTATGAGCTAATTTCGATTTCGAACTCGTGGATACCAGCAGAACTACGCGCGCTTCGAAACTGTCGGCTCGACGGGTAAAGGAGCAAAGGTCAGGTCGTCGGTAACGCAGCTCGTTCTCATCCGCGTATCGCGAGAATTCTCTTTACCGACTACTATCAAGATTGTTTCACCCCCTCGTTGGGGGTAGTTCTACGCGAAGCCCGAGAGAATCGATTTCTATCCTTCGACCCTTGCCACGACCGACTCGCGTCATCGATTCACGTATCCCATCGCGAATACTTGGAATGCTCGGTCAACATTGAAGACGTCGTTGCGACCGCCGCTAGCTCTCATCACTAATTTCGTTTCGTCGTCGATTATATCAGGGAGGGTGAGTCATTACGTCAGTTCGCGACGTCGTCCCGTGACGATACAATTAATGAAATGCCACGCCCGGCTCAAAGCCAGACGAATCAAGCGAAACGCGATGGCGTGACGCGGAGCAACCCTTTAGGCAATGTGCGCCTGCGATGATGTCTTTCGCGAGATCGCTTCTGATTACCGCGATGACTAATTAGCCACAGCTTCACGATCGTCGAACAGTTACACAACGTCGTATCAAATAAATCTGCCAATCGTTGCATTGGACGATACGCGGATTAGGGATTACCGATATCAATTAATCGCGTAAATAAACATTAACCCTTTGAACGCGGAATTGGGTGATCGGTGAAATTGGACGAGCTGGGGTCGGGACTCGTTCGAGTGTACCGCGAGGTACGGTGAACAGAATGTGGGAAGTCGGGGGATGGAAACAGGGCTGCTCGTTAACCAAAGGAACCGATGACTGTTAGAGTAATGAGGCTGGCCTAGATAGACACGACACTCGATTCGCATTACGAGCACGCGACCAAACTTTCCTCCCCCTCGTTTCCTCGTTCTCGGCATTATTATCGGTCTCGAGCACCGAAGGGGATGTGCTCGACGAATTTCGAGTCGAAAAGGGTTTCTATTTCGTACATCGTCGATGTTAGATACGTCTTGCGAGAGGAAAAACTCGTAACCGCGTATTCGCTCGGAATCGAAAAGGGCAATCGTATCGATTTCGCGTACGAGGCGTAACGCCACCGCGGCGAGGGTGCGCCCGAGTGACGTAGAAGACGCTGCCGACGCTAGCGATTGTGGTTTAGGAGGGTTAATCTGGGAGGGTATGATGTTTTCCATAGGCCATCCGACGAGGGGCACCCCCTATGGATTAATTGGAAGCCCGCGTGTATTGATCCAATAACGTGGCCGCTGGATACACAAATCGAGGGAGAGGAAACTCCGAGAAGAAGGGAAAGTTATCGCGCGAAACGAACGAGCATCTGTCTCACTTTTCGCGAGCCGACCACTACTTCCTCGTCGCGTTGGGAAGGGTATTCAATTTACGGCGACACGTTTCACGCATCTGCGTCCCGTGACTCGCCCTCCGGTCGTACACCGGCGGAACGCGTGCGTACACGCGCCGAGCAAAGAAGTTAAACTTGCGACCGACCCGAGAACTAGCCGTAGACTCTTCAAAGCGGAGGTTATTTTTAAACGGCACGGACTTCGCCGCGTTAATTGTGCGCCTTAATTAAAACTAACGTCGTACGCGAATTAAACTAAATTGAGTCGCCCCCGCGAAAGTAACTCGCGGACGTCTTGAAACCGGCGCGAGTAGGGGTCGTTCCGTGACGCGTAAACTTTAATCCCTCCGATCACGGCACGGTGTAATTATTTTAATGGACGTTTACGAGTGTTGCTCGCAAATGAGTCACCGTTCTTCTCTTCGACCCGCGTTAACTGCTTGTTACGCACGGTTTCTCGAATTCGAGGGGATTCTGTAAGGAAATCGAGGCATCCAACCATAGACAATTTTCGAATAAGGCAACAATTTCACATCGATTTATTGAATACTCCATTCGTCCCTCATAACGATAATTAATACATTATCTCTTTCGTCGGTCGATATCTAAAAATCGTCGAGTTATTTTTAACGAGGAGCTTCTAATTCGCGCGCGCTATTAGACTTTTCTCTGGACATCGTCAATGGAGATTAGTAAGATATTATCTACATGTGCAGATCTATGATGCGCAACGGGCAATGGTGCTTAACATATAATAATTACAACGAAGTGTACGCGTCGCCTGACTGCAACAGGCGCAATGCATGCTAATTGCGCGCTGTTCCTTTTACCGGCACGCTCGCTCGCTTTTCTCTTCGAAAAACCGATGTTCGCGCTTCCTGATCTTAGAAGAACCGGTCGGAAACTTGACTCGAGTCGATACGTACAAACACATATAATATAAAAAAATATATATATATATACTTAGAGATGGAGAGAGAGAGAGAGAAAGAAAGAAAGATAGAGAAAAAGATGTACATATATGTATAGACAGAAGGTACAAGATGAAAGTACAACGAATATATATCTCGGACGAAGATAGCTCCTTGACCGAAGCTAAGTCTCTGTCTTGCGATCATCGATACATATAATATAAATATACATACATATAGACGTAATGTAAATCTCTAAGAGCGAACTAATCTATGACAGTATATCTACACAACAATATCTGCGCGCGGCGGTGTATACTCTAGGCTCTACACATCTATGGGGTTTCTCTTGTCTAAGGTGTCTCTCACGGGGATGAACATGGCGGAGCGTGCACTCCGTTTTTCCGCGATCTTCTCTCGACGGTCTCCTGCCGCTCCGTTTGGCTCGCGAAGCTCGATATACTCTGTCCCATCGGTTCCCCTCGGAATTCCTCGAATCGGGACAGTCACAGATTCGCCCGGCGACCGGATGAACGAATACTGTTCCATCCGTGTCCCCCGTTCTGCGCCCTGTGCCCACCCTTCCATGCTTTCCTCGTGATCAAACGTGCCGCCGCCTGCCGGCTGTGCCCTCTAACAGCCAACAGGAAGGTTGGATGACAACCCACCCTATCCGCACCACCACCGTATCACCGTCACCAACACCGTCACCACCACTTCCACGTGCACCTACGATTCACCATCATCGCCATCGGCACACACCACCGTCGTCGTTGTATACGTGCCACCACCCCCCATGAAATCGGACTCCGACGACCTCCGAGCCTTCAACCTCTTCTCTTTCGAATCGCAGACCTGCCGCGCCCGTTAATCCAACTGCTAATCAATTCTCGCCGCGATCCCTACACACCCTGTCTCTAACCCTGGCCCTAGGCCTTTAGACTGTTCGCCCTCTCGTTCTCTGCTCCGTTCTCCATCGTCGTCGAAGTTGGAACACAGGGTCACGGGAAAATCGCGATCACTGGGGGAACGGGATTAGCGGAAACGAGCGGCAACCGGTTCGCGAGCAAAGTTACTAATTGGCCGACACTCGGCCGGTCGAGCAAAACGAGACAGCGCGCAGCGAATAATGTAACGAGCTAACGTCGCGTGCCGGTAATAATTAGAGGGATGCGTATTCCTGCCTCGAAGGACCGTTCCCGCCCTTTTCCCCTGGTTCCCAGCCGTTCTATCGATCCCGTTTCGGTACTCGATCCATCTTCGTTACCTTTATCTTCTCGCGTTCGTCGGTCGAAGAATTTCGGAGAGTTGCCGCGGACATGGGAAGGGGACGAATTACGAGAGCGTATACGTAATTCAGACACCGATCGAACGTCGTCCGTGGTAGAAATTCTAATCGAAACTGGGGAAACTATAGAGGGGTGGCTGAAGGAAATAGAAAGAGAGAGACAGAGTGGGGTAACCGTGGAGTCTAGAGGGAAAGAAAAGGCGAATGCGATCGACCTAAACCCGGCGTTAACCTTTTCATCGACCCCGTTCGAGTTCTCCACTACCCCATCGTGGCGCCGCGTCGTTCTAATTCGATACACGGCGTCGCGCACGGAAACGGGACCGATTCATTATTCAGTAAACGACTGCGGATATTTCGGGGTTAGAAACGACCGAAGAAACCACGGGAGGACGGACCGACCCGCCGCCTCTCCGGATAACTAGGCCACGCGATGTCTCGTCACCGTTCGATCGTACAAACTCCGTTACGAAACAGACGTAAAGCGCGCGAGGACCAAAGTTCGCGAGCGCGACAAGCGATGCGGGGGTTGTTTCGTCGACGGGAAGAAAACGTAGCCGGAAACGCATCGAACGCCACGGCCATCTTGCCAATCCGGATATCGCCGTGCGAGTATCCGCTCCGTGGTCCACCACCGGTCTCCACGGTTTTACGCTGTTCGTAGTCCTCCGTCTCTCGGGCCCGACACCGATCGGAACTACGACGCGTCCGAACGGAATGCCGTGCAGAAAATTCTTGACGTTCACGAGCCGACCAGCGGAAAACTCGCCGAGTATCGCGAGGGACAGCCGCACCTTCCGGAAGTTGTCTTATCGACCGGAAACCTCGTACGCATCCACGTCGAAGGGATGATCCAGGAGGCACGTTGGCCATGTTTCCGGACGAAACGCTCCTCTAGCTTCCCTGCGATACCTGCAACGGTCTACGCGATCCCGAGGAAACACGAAACACAGAAAGAGGGACGAACAATCTTCCAGCCTCGATGAAATGGAAATCGACGAGAAACAGGCGCGTTACGACGGATGTCGGCGATGATGCGACCAAGAGACGAGGACTTTGTCCCATCACACCAGTAACTCTAAAGGCGTACTGCTGTGACAAGACAATATCCCCGGCAAGCGGATGCGAACGACTAGATGTTCTTCTGGTCACCGGCGGCATCGAAACGTTGACGCGGAATCCGTCGCGACGAGACGCGGAGCACCTGATTCGCCGGTCGAGAGAGGGCGAATGCCGTGCGGAGAATCAAGGCGACGACAACGGCGACGGTGGTGCGTGTCGTGCCGCTGGCGGCGTCGATCTAAACTCGAAATTCTAAACTGTTGCGGAAGCGATATCGCCCGGTCGAGCGTCCCGACGGCACTGCGTCTCTCGCTGGCGACGGCGCCTCCGCACCCTGTCCCTCCCCCACACTGGGAAGCCGCGGATCCCACCAGTTACGCGAGCGCACCCTCTCCTCGACGAGCGCGAGCCCCTCGGAGGGTGCGAGAAGGGTGAAAGGGTGGTTGGGTGCGCGCGTGTCTGCCCGCGCCCGCGCGTACGAACGCGCACACGCGGTGCACGGATCGAGGGAGAGTTCTCCGCGTCCAGCTCGAGCCACGCCGAGCCGAAAGCGGCGGCGGCGGAGAAAGGGAGGAAAGTAACCCTCGACGTTGCCGAGGGCCACGGGCCACCGATACTCCGGTTTCTCCTCTCCGGCCCGAGTCGACCCCTCGTCATTCGTCGTCGTGTATGCCTCCGCTCCTTATCGCTTATCGTGTCGCGACCCGATCGGGGTCACGGCGCCTACGAGCATTGGCGGCTGGCCACCGAGAAATTCATCGCGAGCGTTAGGAACAACCGCGAAGAGACGGGCAGCTTTCTTTCCGGGTGAAGGGTCAGGGTTAATCTCCTCGGCCGGCCTCCACGGCAGACCGAGCGAATAATTTCAATCTTTTTTCGGATATCGATTCGTCATCGGCGATTACGCTCAAGTGGAAAACTTGGAGCGCCTTAGTTGGCTTGTGGCCATTCCATTATAAATTATTACATAACCCAAGTATTGCAAAATTAAATCCAGTAATAGAATTCGGACGGAACGCGGCGTAATCCAAGCCGAGCGTTGTGAATGGGGATGGAAATGGAGTAATGAAAGGAAACTTGTTACGTCTCATCGACGTAAGCGATGCTATCCGCGATGGAATCTCGACTGATCGGCCGACCGGATACGACTTCAGTCGTACCGTCGTTTCCGCGCGTTTCGGATAAGAGTCGAGAGGGATCGCGAGATCTGGGTAAAAACCGCCCCTCGGAATTTCCAGAGACAGAGAGAGCATTCGGAGATTCGATTCGAGCCGCTGGGGCAAAGAAATAGTTGGAAGAAGACGCGAGGAAAAAGCCGGCTAATGCAGAGAGAGCGGTCGGCCGGCGAGAGAGACGAGTTTACGTGGAAATTAGGCGGCGAAAGAGAAAAACATCGTCGCATCTCGATGGACGTTCCGCAGGGGCGGAAACGCTGCGAAAGGGAGCGCGACGCGACCCCCGGTGAAAATGCGGGGTGGGGGAAACAACGGAGGGGCGTATTGATCCACCAGCTGCGCGTTCTCTCACCCTCCACCCCCGTCGCGATGCCCCCACTGGCCGACTCCGTCGAACGGTTCGCCCCGTCTCTCGTTCCTCCCTTTCTCTCTCCAGCGATGGAAACGACCCTCTCGCGACCTCGATCGAGCGCGCTCGCCCTCTTACAACTATGTATCACGCCGTACGCTGTACCTCGCTTCGACCCCTAAAAGGGGTGAAAACTAGCGAAATGGCACGCTATCTAGATTTATTCTCGGCCCTTCGTTCGTTAACGCGTTTCCTTCACGTGTAAGAAAGATAATAGAAAGGGCGAGAGAAAATTTGATAAAGGAACTCCTTGGAATTAAATTCTCCGACGGGCGAAAGTAAGTTAGATCGATCGTCTAATCGAGGATCCCTGGTCGGGTTGAAATGGCAATAAGGGAAGGGAAGTCCGGAGAGAGGCATCTCCGGTCGCTGGTTGTAGCCTACGCTGGGAGATGCGCGCCGTTGCCTTTTCCCCCAGGACTCGCTAGGACTGGCGTACGTTCGTTACAGAGAAAGAGAGAACGGAGTAGTACTTCGGTTCGGTTCTATCGCCGCGAGGAACGCCGGCTGGACGGCGCGGGTGGTAGAGGTCGAGCCGAGGGGCAGAAGGGATGGTGAGGTCGAGTGATTGTGTGCACGAGCACGCATACGCGTACGTACATCGCCTCGAGTCTAGAGAGATGCGAGTAACGGAGCTCGGAGGATGAAACGAGGAGCGAAAACCACGCGCGATCAGCGATGGCTTCGAAGCGTTCGCGACGGCTTGTTCCAAATACGAGATGATCAATTACACGCATGTAGCACATATCAAGTTATAAATTGCCTAAACGTGAGTTTAATCTCCTCTGCCTCTTGCGATCGTTTTAGATCAGCGAACGAACAAAGGAGATGGAACGAATCGAATTCATCTCTTGCGATTCGAAATCGAAGACGGCTCGAAATAAAACGAAACGCAATGTCGTCAGTTAATTCGTGGCAGAAATCTCCGTGCCTCTTCCGAAGTCCGAACGCGACGATCTTATCATTCCGCGGTAAAGCAACGCGAATGGCGCGAAAAGCGCTATCTTTCCAATTATTTGCTCGTGATTGGTGGTACGCCGACGCGTTCTTATCGGCCCGATTAAATCGTTTCGAGGGGGGGAAAGAATAATGGCACTCGGGAAATAGGCATCTACGCGTAATTTGTCTGGTATCGGTGCGAGAGTTTGCGACTCACCTTAAGGGACCGGGGTTTCCGCAGGTCGAAGAATCGTGGGACCGTTGGTATCTCGTATCGGTAATAACCATCGCCGAGTCTGCGCGAAACGATTCGATTACTCGATCTTACTTAGAATAACTTTATGCGATCACTTACTGAACATCGATCGTTGCATAGAACAGCCGGAAACAGAGTATCGGAGGAATTATCGCGACCAAGGTCAAGTTCATTACCAGTAACGGTATTACCTGAAACGAAAGAGAAATTGTATTAGAATCGTGAAACGTTGCCTCGGTTCTTAGGACGAATCTTAAAGATATAATCTCGCTGATGTAGGGAGATGAAGGAAGAATGATCAGCGGTAAATTTGTTGTGTTTCAGCGCCGGCATGGAGACGGCGAACGGTGCGATCGAGCACGATTTTCACAACGCCCTGGTGCCTATAAACGGTAGCCATTCCGGCAGCTCCGGGAGGAGTACGCCGAATGGTGGCGATCCGGCACCCGGAAAACTGTTCGTCGGCGGCCTATCCTGGCAGACCAGCAGCGAGAAGCTCAGGGAATACTTTGGGATGTTCGGCACCGTCACCGATGTCCTGATCATGAAGGATCCCGTTACGCAGGTCGGTTTACTCGATCGAACACCTTTCCGCCGGCTTTTCTCCGTCTCGTCGGTCCGTTCTTCCCTTCCAGGGTCTGGTCGGTAGTCGCAAGATTTTCACCCCCTGATCGCAACTGCGAAACTTCGTTCCTTTCTCGAGTCGCCAAATTCATCGATGAAGCAAAGTTTGCTCTACTCTCGATTATCGTTTCGTACATTTGATAGTTGCGATCAAGGGGCTGGAAAAAAGTGTAGGAGCTCGGGGACACGAGCGGACCGACGACGGCGCGATGTAAACTCGCGTCGGAATTTCTCGTCCATTTCCTCCTCGATAGGTCAAATCGGTGTTCGCATCGGTCGAGAAAAGCTTTCCGGGTTTTCGGGTTGGGGATAATAAGTGGTTTAAAAGAAATAGAGAGAGACGTTAACGCAATTCGCCTCGAGGAGATTCGATGCACCAGTTTCTTCCTTCCACTTTTGCACGAAACTTCACACAGTAGATGGTAGAAAGAAAGTTGTACTTACTAATCGATGTAACTAATTTGCTGAGACAGTGTAAAGGAAGTAGAAGCGTATCTTGGTATCTTTACTCGTATCGAAACTTGTATTTAAAACGTAAAAGGTGGAAAAGAGGCAGAGGCTCGTTTCTGAACGAAGTTCGCGATCGAACGAATTTCGAAACAGAGAGAAAGAGAGAGAGTGAACGTGCGTGCGAATCGGAGAGAGAATGGGAGAGAGAGCGAGAGATCACGAACGAGGACTATGGGCATATTATTACTTTTGCATAGATACATTTATCCGTAATTCGGTAGCGATACAATTAACGACAGTAATTTCAGTTGAGTCTTTATCATATATTTATTCCAAGTCCTTGTCTCACGTAATCCTAGAATGTTTGTCTTACATTGGCTTGGACAGTCTTGCATGTAAACGGTAGTTTGGTAGTATTTAGTTAACTGTACATATAAAGAAAGATATTACGCTACCTCTTTTACATACCAGAATACGATATAGAGACAAACGAGTGTACTCGTTGGACGGGACGTGACGGTAATGATTAGAGTCGGTTCGAATCGAAGCGGACGGAATCGAAAATCGCGCGTCGGGGATTCCGATACCGAGCGGATCATTCGTTGGCGAACACCGGAACGGAAGAGATTCGTTGAAGAGAAAACGAAAGTATAGTCTCACGATCAGGGCTTGACTTTAGGCGGTCGTCGCCGAAGAGCGAAAGCGTGCGCTAATACGATGCAGTCGCGCAAGGAAAAGAGAGTGCACAAGGGAGAGAAAGAGGGAGAGAGAGTGTGTGTGTGTGAGAGGGGGGAGAAGAACAAAAGGAGGGAACGGGAGATAGGAGAGAGAGAGAGAGAAAGTAGAGAGAGACGGTCGTTGTGCATCGTGGCCGTTCTGGCTTGTTCGGTTACAGCGTAGTCGCGGCTTCGGTTTCATCACGTTCGCCGAGCCCGGTAGCGTGGACAAGGTGCTGAAATGTCCGATCCACACGTTGGATGGGAAGAAGATCGACCCGAAACATGCGACGCCGAAGAACCGAGCGAAACAAGCGAATCGCACCAAGAAGATATTCGTCGGCGGGGTGAGCCAGGACACTAGTAGCGATGAAGTGAAGGCCTACTTCAATCAGTTCGGGAAGGTCGAGGAAACGGTGATGTTGATGGACCAGCAGACGAAGCGGCACCGCGGCTTCGGCTTCGTCACCTTCGAGAACGAGGACGTGGTCGACCGAGTGTGCGAGATTCACTTTCACACGATCAAGAACAAGAAGGTCGAGTGCAAGAAGGCTCAGCCGAAGGAGGCGGTGCAGCCGGGCGCCCTGGCCCTCGGCAAAAGAGTGGTGTTGGGCGCGTTGGGGGTCCGGCTCGCGCCCCAACCGCCGCTCCCAGTCGCCGCGGCATCGCAGATCGTCGCGGCTCAGGCCCAGGCCCAAGTTCAAGCAGCCGCGGCCGCAGCCGCAGCCGCGCAAGTGCAAAACGCGGTCGCCGGATACGGGAAGCTGTTCGCCAGCGGCTATCCGACCCTCTCCGCCTATCGATACGCGCCGTACCCGATCCCGGCAGCAGCGGTAGCGGCAGCCGCGGCCGCAGCGGCACCCGCGCCAGCGCCCGCTCCACCCTCCGCGGCGGCTGCAGCCGCTGCAGCTGCAGCGGCGACCCCCGCGGCCGCTGCCGCTGCCGCCACCGCGAACCCGTATCAGGGATACTCCCTCACCAACGTCGACATGTCCAGCTTCCAGGGCGTCGACTGGGGTTCTATGTACGGAATGGGCATGTACGTTTAAACTCCCGTCATCGCATCTTCAACGGCTGTCTCCGTTTTACCACCCTCTTCCCTCGTTCGTTTACCGTCTTCCCGAGGTACGACGCGCGATTAGGGGTAATAGCGATGCGGAGAGGAAGAGCTGAAAGTCAATCGTTCGCGTATATCCTCGGCGGTGCGCGAGGATCCTCCCTGGCCGCACGGCCGAATACCACCGGAGTCATTCTTCTTGCGTTTACTACTCGTCGTTATCGCTTGTCAATTAATTTATTAGCAAGAGTGCGTGAGATACGAGCGGAAGAGTTTGTACGCATGAGTAACTATATGTATGCACGTGTACCAGAGGAAATGAAATGTAAACGCGCGCGCAATCACTGCGATACACACTCGTTCATCCTACGTGCGCGTTCTTTTTTTCCCCCCCTTTATCAAGGAGATCATTTAACGCGTTATTTTTTCTTTTTTTTTAATTCTTTTTTAATTGCGTTTTGCCACGTTCGGTTCCTAGTTAGATTAGCGGGCATCCAAGCACGAAACGAAATATACCGCGCTTGCGAGCGCGCGGTAACAATCGGTTACTTAATCGAATAAGAGACATCGGAGGCGGCCGCGAGCGACCGTGCTCCGTACTCAAAGATCTCGACCACGAAGCAATAAAACAGGGAAGTTAGATCGTGAACCGGAGAAACGTAGGAGGAGAAAATGTTGGAACGCGCGTAACTGCGAACGAGCTCGTCGACCGATCTCGATTTTCGCGTACGCTTCCATTCTTTTTGTCGAACTTCCGGCGACGCGAAACCGAGCGAATGCGCGCGAACGGCGTTTCTTCCTTCCTTCTTCCCTCCGTTTTCCAGAGAACGAGGCAGTTCTCCCGTTGTTCGTTCCGCGACACGCTCCTCCGCCTCGGTCAAAGTGCCAAACGAAGCCTGTGCTCGATCGACCGTCGTTGAGTTCTCAACAAAATTTTCGGTTCTCTCCGCCGTCGCGCGCCTTCGTTCCGCGAGATAGGTCGGTCGCGTTCGATCGCTCGCGCGTAGATGATATGTACGCGAAACAAAGAGGCAAGATGTACGTACAACCAGCGCATACTTACGAGCGAGTTTAAATACGTAGAACGGCGCAATAAGTATGCACATATATTTTTCTTCGTGTAACGGAAGACAATATTTCTCCATCGCGCGGATAAGCACTGGGCGGCACGCGATTCGATCGCGGGACAGAGAGAGAAGAGACATTTTTTCCGAAAGATCCTCGTTTCTGGGCGTGCCGAGGAGTCGCCGACCCGGGCGACCGCACGGTAACGGAGAGGAACCCGAGATTGAGATTAGCTCAGCGTTTAACTGTTAAGAGACTCTAGCGTGTAAGTTTCAAGCAGGTTAACTTAGTACTTTAAGGTGTTCGTAAACGAAACGAGTCGATACTTAATTTATACGAATATGTATCCAGGCGCGTCGCGCTGTTTTTACCGTTCGCGAGCGATCGAGGCGGCTGGCTCCGCGGATCGATCCTCCGACTCCTCCGATTTCTCGTTTGCCCGTAACGAAAAGTTTATCGAGAAAATCCCGAGTCTCGTTGGATAATTCTGTCTGGCTCGCCCATTGGGTATGTCAGATACGTTCGTAACTGTGTAGCATCGCGACCAGGGGCCGGAAGATCGACGGACAAGGCGGCCGCGCGTACGCAGCTGTCGCGACTCGCGTAAACTCGGGTGTTCTGATTTGCGGTGAGAACAGCGCGAACGTCGCGAAACAAATGTGAGAAATTTCGAGCAATAAGCGACCCACTGAAACTCTTAAGCTCTGTACCGTTTAAGTTTAACGATACGATAATCGCGAAGAGTAAGAACGGGAAACGGGAGAGCAAATCTATACGCGCAGCAAAGCGTGAAAGAATACTCGATGGAGGTTCGCCGCTCCGGTGCGGCGAGCGGCGATACTGGGAAGAGCGAGTTCTGTCTCAGACGACAAGTAATATTCTTTAGTGATATAAAACCTTAAACATATACTTAACTCTGTACTGTAACGTTAACGACGACAAAGCTCGTGAGTGATATTTATGACTTATAAGATGATACTTAGTCGAGTAAACGAGAGAAAGAGAGGGAGAGAGAGAGTGCGTGGGTGTGCGTGTACGAGAGAGCCTGAGAAGGACAGAGCGAGAGTGAATCAGCGAGCGAGAGATAGAGAGAGAAGACAAAAAGCACGCCTTAAAAAGTGAAATTTGCGAAAGAAGCACGCGGGCATTCCAGCGAAAATGCGAGCGAACGAGAGAGGGACGATCGTTCGACTACACGAGATCATGGTGTAAACCGAATTCTATTTTCCGCGATATCTGCGCGCGCTTCGAGAAGGGGTGCGCAGCTTCGAGATAGAACGCGGGTGCGTACTCAAAGCTGACCTCGAGGACATCCGGTACATCGATGTACTACGCTTCGACTCGTTCCCGCCGGGGATCACGCTTCCTCGCGCGTGTACGCCCGCGTTCGAACGGACGCGCGCGCGAAACGTGCACCTCCGGCTCCCACTCCCACCCCGTACCATCCGCGTACAATCGCGATTCTATGTAGTACGTATGTTTCTGTCTTTTTCGTCTCCTTTCCTCCGGCACCGCAACCGTTCTCCTCTTCCTCTTCCGTTTCCGTTTCCGTGAAGAACGAGAAAGGGTGAACTGAGACGACTAAATCGAACCGATGAAAGGTCTAGAGGGGACGTTTCGCCCCGTTCCTTCGTCGATCCGGCTCGCGACCCAAAAGATTTATTTAATACGGATCAACACCCACGTACCTACTACCCCTTCTCGTTAAACGTTTTTCCCCTAATTTCCGAATTCCTCCCGACTGTTTTTCGCATACCTGCCGGCGATTATGTATTTTATATACGCTACACTCTCATACATATATACGCTGAAAATGCACACACATACACGCACACACACACACAGACATACGTACATTTATACAGACGAACGTACACATCTTTTGCGAATGTCGAGAGTTATTCTTAATGTAGTTAGCACTTTTAATGATCGCTAACCACTCGTTAGTTGAGAATGATCAGTAGGTAAAGCATGCTGACTGATATTAGATCCTGATTCCGTCGTTCCCTTCACCGCCCTCGTCGCGTCTCACTCGATTTGAATCCGAGAACACCCTTTTGTGTCTCGTCGCTCCGTCTTCTTGCCGACTTGCGATCGATCTTTTCTCGACATACTTCGTTTCATCACCCTTTTTTTTAATTCGCTCTTAAAATTATTCGTTTCTCCGTTCAAGGCAACATTTAAATAAATATACGAACGAATTTAGAAGTCCCATGATTCTCGATACGTTTATTACGATTCGAAAGACGAGAGGACGGGTAGCTGCGGCTACGCGACGTACGCCGGTTCATCGTTATCCCGCGGGCAACGGAGCGAGACAGAGAGACTGGATGAAAAGAGACGAAGATAGAAAACAATGCATAATCCTCTGTCCATCCGCGTCCCACGTTCCACACGCTTACATACGACTCCTGTTTAAGGGAATTCGATATCATCCCGTGCCTCGTAGTACGTCGTCGTCGTCCTGATCGTAATCATCATAATCATCATCATCAATCATCATCATTGCCGTTGTCGTCACTGTCATTGTCATCGTTGCTACTACTGCCATTATTAACGTTTTCATTATCGTTATCATTATCGAGCGCGATCGTCGATTATTCTACTCTGCAAGTACCCCTGCGTTAAATAATAGGCACCGTTCTATAGCAGTCCCGTGCGATTACCAATCGATCGAATTCGACAGTTCGGAAACGAATTGGTAAAGTCTAATAACGAACGCGCTCTCATTCTCGTTGCCGTTGCCCAACTTCGTCCCCGTCCTTCGTCCCCCTCCGAGCTCACTTTTCATTTGTCTTTTCGTCTTCGTCTCCTTGTTCATCATCTAGTTTCACCCCCCCCCTCGGTTTTCGCTAATTCGTCGTGCCATATGTGCGTGCAACGAGACGCGAGCGTTCTCCGCGAGCGATAGGAATAGAAATACGCGCAATAAATTTAGCGATCCTCGATGTAGAAGGGATCGAGGACCCGCGGCACTGTACCGTACATATATCGATGACAGCAGGAGTACGCAGGGCGGCGAACGCGAATGAACGACATGAACGACAGATAATTAATTTAGTTCTACGCCTAGATGAGTTGCCAATAAAGTAGTTCGTTTCAAACTTGTAGCTAACCTGTATTGTGTGTAAGACATACCCCCTCGTCCTCTGTTGCTCCCCTTCTTCAACCGTATATATGTAGGTATAGTGTATCTGTGTATCTTGCCTAACCGAGTATACTTTTGTTCACCTATGTCGGAAGTAATACTTATATGTATTTCTCCTTATTGTTTTTTTTTTTTTTTTTTTGGTGCTATGTACCTACTTTGTCCTGTCGCCTACTCACCCACCCTCTGTATCTACCCTCCGCGTCTCTATTCGATTATACTTACACATAATTCGATTCGACCATTTATTTTTCATTTTTTCGTACGATTAATTTTCTTTCCACTTTCTTTTCCGTTAGTATCCACTTCCACCCGTTCGGTCGGTAGCGTCGAAGGTCGACGCGACAACCGTCAACGGTCGACGGTCAACCGTCGATGCCGGAGGCGAAGTGCCCCGCGGCCGCATAGCTAATTGGTTAATTAATATTAAGCCGTAATTAGTCTCGGTAACCCGCTGGGCACTCGTTTCGCGCCGCTTCCTGGTTGGTCGAAAACGCGTCGCATTGCCCTTTGCTCTCGCTCAACGGTCTTCCCCGTTCGATGTTTGTTCCCTATCTTTGTTCGCGTCCACGCGCGGGACAGCCCCGGCGTTCAATTATCGATGTATCGTTGAAACGAAAGCGAGACCATCGGGGCTGCGATTCGATCAAAGAGCGGCGTGTCGGTGAAACGCGTTGACCGTAGGCGACATTTTTTTAACGTTACCACCCTGTTCCCGTTACCCCATGTTTGCTTTTTGAGCGGTTTCAGATAGCCAGCGGATTTGTTGTAACGCATGCATCTTAGCTAGACCATTCCTGGCGCACTCTAACCAGCAAGTAAGAGTAAAACTTTTATAATAGAATAAATTCGATGTGAACACACAGTTGCTTTTCGAGAGAAGACCTCCCCGAGCGGGTCCACCTTGCCGTACCGCGCGATTCACCCAGTCCGTCGTCTCTCGTTAAAAAGCGGGCGGCGACGGTTTTTCGTCGAGTAATCGGAACCAGAGTCGGTGTTTAAACCGCGAGCAAGTCGAATGTGTTCCATTAAACTGATTCAACTATCCACTGTCCCTTTCGATCCGTACGCTCGACCGATGTTCGATCGAGTCTTTGGAACGATGGGATGAAACCGAGAGAGACGGTTCATTCGAGCGTACGGGGGAAACACCTGCTAGATCCGAGCGTTGTTTCACGGGTCGAACGGAACTGGCCTAGAGATGTAAAGGTCTAATCGGCGCGAAAATTTTTGCCTTGGAACCGAGTCTAGGTTCAGCGTATGTACATATCGTTGTCGAGTTTACTTAGATCGTAGAATTCACTTTGTACCCGTAAACCTGTAACCGTAACACGTCGCGCCGCGGTGCGCGGAGGAGTTTTCATCGAGAGATCTAAGCGCGCCGCGATGAAAGCGTTTCCCCGTGAAAGAGCCGGGCGGCGGACAATGTCAAAATGTTTTGACGGACCAATTTCGGTGAATGAGTACAACATACGTCTCACCAATTTTTCGAGCCGCGTCTCGCGAATACATATCGACAGTATCGACGCGCGCAACATATCGAGCGGCTGTAGCGATCCACGCGTATCGAAGGTCAGTTCCATCGATCCGCGCGGTGTACTTAATTAGTCGAAGGAACGGCTCGGCTCCTTTCACTTCTCCTTCGCCGTTTTACACGATCATCGATTCGACAGAGACCCGAGTGCCTTAATCCGATCTCCGTTGCCGAAGCTCCTTACCACAATTTCCCCTGTCACCGTGAAACTCGAACAAAAGGAAATCTACGACGAGAAGAGAAAAAGAGAGTCGAAGAGGGGAGAACCAGGAACGATTTAGACGCATAAAAAGCAGTAGTCGAGTGTCGATGGTCAGAGAAAGAGACAGAGAGAAAGAGTGGGCGAGTGCGAGAAAGAGAGAGAGAGAGAGAGAAAGAAAGAAAGTAAGAAAGAAAGAAAGACAGAGAAAGAACCGCTTCTAGGGATTCGAATCGACGATGCGCGGCATTCACGGCGGCTAAGAACCAGGTAAGACACTATTTTTTATCTCTATCATTTTTTATGTACTATACGTGTATACGGATCGATACGAAAATTTTGGGACCTCTCGCGACCGATCCAGTAGCCACTTCGAGTGACCCTCGGTCTTGCCAAGATTTTCGGCTCGGTCCGCTTAAATAGACGTGTGCACACGTATTAAGTATCACACAGAAGTTCGCATCATTTAACCGTAGACATTTCACGTAGACGCGGTAGTCGTTGCGAGATTTAGCGTATTAGTTGCGAGCATTATTTACCGTCGATCTGACGAATCTCTCCGGCGCTTGTAACGAGCCGGAGGCCGATACCCATTTCTACCCACACGCATCGTAATACACATAGTAAATGTTGCTAGTCGTGAACCAAGCTAAAACCCATCGATGGCGTAGGCGTAGTTGCGATATGCGTAAACGAGATATAATTTTGTTTCGTTGGTTTCACGAATTCTGGAGGCTCGCTCGATCGAGAACGAGTTTCGAACGAACTGCGCGTACCTATTTATTCCTTCTTCCGTTTTACAAACTTTTCTATATGCAAGTGTTAGACTCGTTCTTGAATCGAGAGACTTGAACCGCTGTGACCGTTTGTTTCGGCATAATTCGATGGCAGAACGTCGCATTCGTGTAGTCGTCGACAGCCAGTAAACAGGCTGACGAGTAAGAACGGTGCATGTGCAACGATTTTGTACATACAATACTACATAACGACACGTTTTCTCTGAACGATTATCTCGTGTTCGCGCGCAGTTCGAAGCGCCCGAACCCAAATCCTTGATGGGCATACGTACTCCTCACTTACGTGCGCGTTCATCCAGCGAGAGAACGTCCCGCAGAGTCTTTCGGTAGCGCGTGACGCGACGATACGAGACGGTCGTACTAAATAGAGGCAAAGCGAGGCCTTACCTTAAATAGTAGCGTGTGCGTGATTCGAGGAACGAGTTTTACCTTTGTAAATCGCTCATCTCGCCAACGATCATCGCCACTGCCATCGCTCACCACCAGGTATCCCTCGCCATCGGTACCGTCGTCGTCTCGAATCGAGCGGAGATTCAAAATCGGTTTCACGGTCAAGCTCTTTCCATCGCGCTCGAGTCGAGTCGCATCCGAGTACACGGAAGCTGCGACGGGACATTTTCAATGTTCGACGCGTCAGGAGAGGCTGCCTCGAGGGCGACGTTCCTTTCACGGAAATAGTTGGGCGCACTTTCCTCTCGCGAGGACGCGCGAAAGCGATGTGCGTGTTTTTCTTCCCTTTCCTTTTCAGATTCACTTTTCGAGGCACACTTTCGAAATGGGACCCGCGCGTTTTTCGTAGCGCTTTTTTAAGGCCGACAGATGCGTGTCGGCGTCTTGTTCTTCCACTACATATATACATATAAATATATAGATATATATACGTATATTATACGCGTACACGAGCAAACGGATAAATTATAAAATATAAATATCTATATATATGTACAAATATGCGTATATGTATAACGGGTAATGCATTTCACGAACAGCCGACTAATATTCGAGGACGAAGAACGATTTTTCATAAAGTCGTCGCGATTCGACGAGGAAGCCAGGAGTCGATGCTAGTTTCACCTACTGCGTTTTACCAATACGACGGCGACGCGTTTGTCATTCACGTCGAGGTGGTCAATTATTCGTCGATCGTTTCGTTTTCATTTCGATCCTGATCCAAGGATCACGTACCAGTTCTAATTCATCCTATTTTTTTGCGAAAAGATTTACGTTCCACGGACTGTTCTCTTTTCGCGGCGCCCTGGCAATGGGATCGCGTTTTCTCCGTCGAATCGATGTAAAAGCTCGGTTTTTGTGTCACGATTTTACGCTCTAAAAATTGCGGACGAAGCGCGTGGGCTGAAGTGCAAAAAAAAAAAGAGAGAAGGCGAAAATCGCTCGTTAAACCTCGACGATTCGGCTGAAAATGAGACTCGAGAGACTTTCGGCATCGAAATAAGCATGCCGATGAATCGTCTCTCACGGGACCGCGATCGACGTTACTTTTTGTACATACGCGCCGGATTTTGATAAACTATAACGATACGAAATTTAGAAACGATTAGACTTGGTCGTATGATCCTCGACGAGGGAATAATAAAAAATGAGATGTTATTTCAGGTTCGTTCGAAATTCTAAATAACGACCATTACCTAAAAGTCGCCTAGAGTTTGTCACCCGTACCGATATAGGTGTTAAATCGCGTACGCGATATTCCGTATAAGTACATATATTTTTTTAATCTAATCGAGATACGAACGTTGTTAGAAACGCGAGGGTAGGCGCGATATCACACGTCGCGAGAATCAGAGTTCTTCAGCGTTCTGATCGTTGATCGCGGTACAGACGGTTATCGATTTCGTTTGAGTAGACGTAGCGTAATCGGCTAGTACGAGACTCGATTTTTTTACACCGGTTCTCGGTGGACACGCGTACATAGATCGCGAGTGTACAAAGTAGGGGCATATTTCGAACTCAAGTCCCGTTTCGTCGATCGCGATTCGAAAGCTAGAAACGACTAGGTTCCCCTTTTCTCTCGTTTAGCGCGTAGCCGATAGTAACGACCGTTAGGCTAGATAGGTCATTTCGCGACGTTGAACGTTTTCTTATCATCAACCATCGGACAGTTCCAAGCAATAACGTTTTCGCGTCATTCACGTCCCATGAGTTGCATCATCGTTCAGCTGCTACCGTGTACAGTGGCGATAGTACTTATAGCGCGTCGAATCGTACTCTTTCATTCCGCGAGTCGGCTTCTCAGTCAGTCACGGAGCCTCAGAGGTTTCGAAAAAGCTTATTCCCGTTGGTTGATTCTTGCTTCCCCGATTGCGCTTGAGTGATACGCGATTCCGTACGATAGGTCGACGACGCGCGCGTTCATTGGAAGGACGACAAAATCTAAAACTCCGAGTAAGTTTACCCAGACACCGCGAACGAACACAACCGTAGTACTTATAGTCGACTAGTTAGATAGACGAGAATAGTAAGACGAGCGTAGCGCGAGCCCATCTAATCAAGTTACCCGGTTTAATGGGTGAGCGATAAATCGAGACAGTAATAAGCGAGGATCGGTTAATTAGTAGTGTTGATCGCAGCGAAATAGAAGAGACATAGACGGTGACACTGCGAGAGAGAAAGAGTAAGAGAGAGAGAGAGAGAGAGAGAGAGAGAGAGAGAGAGAAAGGGAGAAAGATACGGCTGTGTGTCGGAGTGCGTTGTTTATCGAATGCGAGGGAGAGAATGGATCGAGCGACAGGGAAAGGGATGTCGAAAGAATAATTATCGAGGTATTTACTACAGGTAAACTGGTTACTGTACCTGTTGTTGTTGAAGACATTAAAAACACTCTTATTCCACGCTAACATCGCTTGATGATATCTATTATTTCCATTCCCTACTACACCAAGGAGCCCGGGACATTTATATTCGACCACGAATCTCATTTCCTAACGCGAGACACCTCGGCTCGACGCGTGATTCGTACAAGATTTTATAAAAGTTGTAACGGAGAGTCGAAGGACCGATACTATCCCCCTGTACTCTACATTCCCGTTAAATAAATATGTGGTTATATGTGTAGTGTAACGTAAAATAAAGCACCACGTTGCAATTATCGATCTGTCGATGCGCGCGCGCGCGCGCGTGTACATACAATATATACATAGATCCATATTGGTAATCGTTTTGTAGTAGTTAATTGGCCCCTGTTTGCGCTGCTGGCCGTGTTTCGAGACGCTCTGTCGCCACCGCGTCAACAGCTCTCGAATTTTCACCGTTCGAGGACAGGTGTATGTGTCTCTCTTCCCTTTCGTATGGCCAGTAGTGCACATCTGTAGCTACATGGTTTTCTCCCGATCCCCAGCTCCCACCCACCCCGTACCTTGGTCGTTTCTTCGTAACATTTTCAGACGATCCAAACTGTAACTTGAACGAAGCATGAAACAACTGCGTGTACATTAACTTGCGATTCGTGTAGGGCTTACTCATGATATTATCATAATTAGAGACGAGATACACGACGACTGTTCTTTACGAAACGGTAGGGTTCACGCGACGAGGGGAATTAGCGGTCAAAGGTGAGTGACAATAAAAGAGGGATAATTATTTTTCTGCACAGTCTCCGCGAAAGCTCTTTATCCCTCTGACAGCTACGCGAGATAGAGTTAAATCGACGTGTGTGCGTAACGTGACGTTAGGATGTAATATCGATTTTAACGTTTGGTATTCACTTTGTTTCTCGATCACGAACCAGTAGCTTGTTCGAGTAACACGTCTCACTCGAATCGAGTGTCTACGACCTACGACGAGCAGACCGTATGAAAACTTTTTCGAGAGGACTTTGGTTTTGGTGATTGGTGCAAGAGTAGTTATTATCGTAAAACAACAATTAATGAGACTTAGAGAATTTTTTTCTTCTTCATTCGATCACCGACTGTGTACTCAGTCAGATCGACGAATCGTTCTATCGCGAGTCGCTGATCGAATAAGATTTAGATTAAACAACTTTTGTATATTGATCCGATAGAAACGATCTTGTGAGAAGACCCGCGCGTGCACGGAGCGCATCGTCCAGTCCGAGGACAGATACAAACGAGAAGAGTTCCTTTTTCATTAATATACGAATACGCTTAATAAAAGCGAGGGACGTAGATGCTCTGTGAACGCGCGGGGACCGAAACGAACACGTTCTTTCATTTCTCACGATACGAGTAACCCTTGTTCGATTAACTTTCTTGCCGCATCGTAGACAGTAGCAGTCCTTTTAATACTTGAAACAACTTACATACTCTTTTAGTATAGTTGCAGCTGACGTAATGGATAATGTTTTAGAGTCTAAGTAGAGAGACGTTTATGTATACGTATATACTTACTTACTTACTTACTCACTTATACTTAATTTGGTCGAGAACGTGGCCGCTGGTATATAATAAAACCCGTAGAAACAAGGAAAGGAGAACGCGCGCCTCGAGAAGCGCGTGTCTCTGCAACGAATTTCCAAAGACGAGCGTATCGCGTGGCGTTCGCCGAACAAGTTCGCGATCGTCGATCGACGAGGTCGGTCGCCTCTTCCGACAGAAATTTTCTGTGATAAAGCGGGCGTGAGAGGAATTTCGAGATCGAAGACGCGCCCGATCTCTCGGCGTCGCGCGGTGATCCGAAGCTCAACAACGATGTGGCCTATTTTATACGAGGGCTAGCATGTAGCAGAAGCGAGTTAGTCACGGTTAGAATTATAAAGGGATAAGCATTGCACTTAGGATAGGATAATTTCTAATGAACGATTCCGGAGCGTGCGAAGTAACTTCGAGGGAAAACGAAACATTCCGCGAGTCGACACGCTCGCTCTATATTTCCATGCTCTATATAAAAAAAAAAAAAAATACGATAGTTGACGGTAGCGAGGCGGTTCCGAAGATTTTGTAACCGCATCGGTGGCTCAACGATTGCTACCAGGAACGAACGAACGAAAAATGGACATTTTGCAGGAAGTAATAATCGGAGATCGCATCTCTCGGTACTCTCTGTCTCGTGGCACGAGAGAGCGAAGAAGACGAGGACGGATTGTATCCACGATCGACCAATCGCAAGACGTTATTTTGTTACGATTACGATAGGGATTTATGGAATTATACCTCAACGGCGACGAGTCGAAATGGCACGGGATGGACGTAGGTAGTAGGCGTCTGACGAATTCGAACGATTGTATCGTACGACGCGTGTAAGGACCGTGGTTCACGCTGCGTTAAAGCTTTTGTATGTTTTAATCGAGTACAAAAAAAAAAAAAAAACTGTACATACCACGAGTGTGCATTATCGTAAGTGTACGAAAAGAATACTGTTGCTCGAATCGAACGACGATATCGTCGAGGGTACGTCGACGAATGAACAGGCAAACTTTGGAGCGAATGTAGAACGTAGAACGTGCAGAGACAACGAGAACGCGCACTCGTCGTCGATATCGTGGCTCGTTCGAGGAAACAGGTTTTCGATCCTAGTCCTTTAGTCTAGTCTCGACTTCTAGTTAGGAATTTAGAATCTCTCGCGGTACGTACGTACGTAGTATATCGCGGAGTCGGCGAGTTACGTTTTGAAAGTTACAAATTGAAGAGAAAGACTGGCAGCCTCCCCGAGGGCGGCACGCCTTTTCCAAAAGACGTAGGATGAGGAGAAGAAGGAAAAGAAGAGAGGCGAGGGGGAGAAGGCCGTGACAGAGCTGGCTGTCTCCCACGGGATGAACACGCGACCGGATACTACAACAACGGCACGACGAAAAGGAGCGTTATCAACTATTTATTTGCGAACGGTACAAATCATTTGTACAGTTATATATTATATTTATTTTTGTCACTATCTCTGTTACTACTATATTACTGTGTCATCATTACTTTCGTCACCATCGCCACGATTATTCGCTATAATTATACACGCAAATTGAAAAGTACAACTCCTTCTTTTCATTCCTTCATCGAGCGAGCGGACACGGGACGCGTGGACGAACGGCCTTCCCCCGCGAGTTCGTATCCCGCACCCGATAAGAATTTCAGGAGAGACAGCTCGGGAAACAACGAATGACGCGGTAAGAGGTTTTCCGAGCACGTCGTTGGTTTACTAGAGATCCGAGGGAGAGGCTATGGCGTGGGCGGTGGAGAAAGAAACGAGCAGCAGGAAAATCGATATTGGGACCCCCCAAGGGCACGCGTTATGTACGCCCCTGTCGGTTAAATTGCGGCCGCAGCGAGGAAAAAAGAAAAACCGCCTCGGAAATTTCACCGTCGCCCTTCCGTCGGACCCCGATAAATATCAACGACTATCCCGCGGTGATACTAGATAGCCGCCGCTTACCACTGAAAATTGATTACGAAACTTACGACACGCTATCGATTTTATGTGTATTAAAATCTCCTCGGTCGAACTCGAACGAAGCTGAGTTTTACGTTAACGATCGCGAGTCGAATTCGTCGATCCCTTCTAGGTACGAGAAGAAGAGGAGCACGAGATCGAGGGTACGTCGATCGAAGGAGCTCGTCATTCGATAGCACGAGTCACTCTCGTCCATTTATACCTTCCACTTTTATACCCTGCTCCTAGTTCATCGCGTAATATCGCAACAACACGGAGAGAAGCGATACGGGGAGACAGCTGGGCATATTTTTCCGGAGAAGATGCGCGCCGGGGATGAGGAGGACATTTACACGCATCCACCGTGCCACGCTTCGAACGTACCGCCCTTCCTACCCGTTTGTATATCTATACGTATCCCGTATTCCATCCCCTAGTCCCAACCCCGAGAGTATCTCGAACGATAGGCAGAAAATGGATACATTATACGGGGGAAACTTTATATCCTATATGTATTTCATATCTTGTAATTGAGACACAGGTCGAAATCGATATTGGTATGATCGATGCAACACGTGCGTACGAGCGTGTGCGTGTATCGCGACGAGAAGTGTGAGAAAAAAATGAGCCCCCTTCTCCTGAATGAGAAGAAAATTATTTCCCATCCACATTTTCTTTCATATTATCACGCGCGCTACGAGGTAGCAAGAGAGTCGCGTCAACGCAGCCGCTTGAATTACGACCAGAGGAGGTAAGTAAAAATGCGCTACGACGAGATTCTCAACGATTTCGAAAGATTGATCTGATCGCATCTAGCGCGGGTTTAGTTACTAGCAGCGACATCGTTCTCGCTATTTTTATCCCGGTTTATCGTCGTTTTAGCTAGGACTCGAACGGATCAGTGGCCGTAAGTAGCCTGCATCTGCCGAACGATATGGCTTATGAGAAAAGTGGAGCAATTCGCAAGGATGGTTAACCATCCTCCCACCGACGCCCGCGTCTCTTCGTTTCGCGCATGATTTATCGATCGTTTAACGCCAGATCCGAGCCATAGATCGCGGATACCCGGACGTCTCATCGCGAACCGGCATCTAATATTCCGCGAACGTCGCTTCGGTCTAAAGAGCTTTTCGAGGACTTCTTTATCACTTTTCCACCCCCCGAAACATTCGGTATACGGTCGGCCGTAGACGAAGCTCGGAGAAACAGGGATGAACAGGATAAGGGAAATGAAATCGAATGGTTGCCTTTTCCGCATTTCAAGATTCCAGTCCTGTAAATATGCATAAACCGCGCGATGCACTAAATGTTTTTTAAAACCCGTAGGCGTATCGACGCGAGGGCTCGGAGGAGCTCGTTCCGCCGGTGATGCTCGCCAGGTGTGCCTCGGTATTTTTAAAACATTCAAAAGATCTAGACGCGCCCTTTCTGCTTGGCCGAAATGCACATTCGCAGTATCTTCCTTCAGACTGCTAATAAATAGTTCACTTGTTCGGCGGAGTCGATGGCGAGACGCGGAGAGGCGGCAAGGAGGAAGGGTAGTGCAAGAGACACTCTGTATACGAGTAGTAGAAGCAGAAGTTCGAAGGAGAGAGACGAGTGACGGGGTAAAGAGATATGGAGCCTAAATCTTTGATGCCTTTAGGTTGCTCGGCTGGTCGGCCACTCTGTTTTTTCATGGTTATTCCTCCGCCGCTCTGGCACACAACGTCGCGGAACTTTTACTACATATTAGAAAACATCCGCCGGCAATGAAAATGTTGCGAAGCCCGAGTAGATAATAGAATGAAAATTAAATGATTTCCTTCCGGTGCTTATTGCGTCTAATTGATCGCTACTCGTACGCCGTTCTCGGCGTAGCTTGGCTTCAATATTTAAATCGATGCATTTCATATTTACGGGAGCTTTTAACGGGTCGACTCGTACGCTGAACGAAACAGGGCAACCTGTGCTGGGAAGGAAACGCAGCACACGCTGTTTGCGACGAACGAATCGGACGTTCAAACTTATTTCAGTGTAACGCACATCCAGCCGACGATACGAGAAACTGGATCGAAGTTCATCACCGAAATACATATGCAAACTACGCGTAACGTTGCGTGGCCGTGATTTAAGCTTCGACCTATCAAATCTCGGCCGAATCATTCAATTATTCGCATTATTCGTCGATGCATATGTATGCGTACGAGCTTACATAATGTCGGGCATGCAAATTCGTTTGAATAGTCATGGCTCAAAATTAAATAGTTACCGCGATCGTTATCATCGCGTCGTACAAGGCAATTGAGTTAGTCTTACCGACCAGTTCTGCTTGATCTTTTTCACGGTCAAGAAATCGAACTTTGTAACCACATCCTTGAACGAGTACGGATACATTACGAAACACCTCGGTACCCTTAAGTGGCCGAACGACATCCTCACGTTTCTGCAATCGAATTAGGCGATTTCAATAAATACGGCGGACGATTCGTCGACGCGAACCACAGCTAGTAACCTGTTGGCAAGTTTCAACGAGCGAAGAGATCCTGACAGTTCTGGCCGCCTTACGTCGACGATTGTCCGTTGTTCGCTTGTCAGCCCGTCCCGTGAATATTTTCACGATCTGGGAACACGATCGAAGTTGAAAGCGAAGCGGTTTACGAGGTCGGGGGAATTATTTAAAGATGCGTAAGTGTAACGAATGAAACGAGGGCCTCGGAAAAAGGGGAACGCTGAATATTTCACGTCGGAATATACGAGATCGCTGGAACCGTAATTCGGGTCGAGAGCAATTGCGAAAATTTCGTGTTTAAGCTACAGAAATATTAGCCGCGACGTTGCGTGGCACACATACCTCCTCTTGTATGCATGCGTACACGTGTACATTAAAAGTTAAGTTGAAGACGTAAACAAAGTACGTTTTTCATATTCGCGATAGGAAAGTCCAGGGAGAACGCGCAATAGGAAATATGCCGTCATACCATTTATACAAAAATGTTAACGTGCAGTTATATATTTACTCATCGAACGTTACTAAACTATCGTTTCCGTTCCTATCAATTCCTAACGGAAACCGCATTCGAGCACCGCCCGTTGAGAGTCGCTGACATTGGAAAATTCGCATCTGCGCGTAGTTTCATCCGGGCTGCATATGCCTACTGTATTTGCGAATAAAAGTGTGGGAAAACGTGTACTCGTTTTCAAAGAGTGTAAGCGAGGGAGTAACGAGGGGAAACTTTGAAAAAGACTCGGGCTCGCGTTCCATTACTTTCAATCGAGGTGAACGAAAGAGAGGTAGAGAAGTAAAAGAAAACAGGGAAGAGAAAGATTCGTTATCTTTTCTGCTCTCGTAACGCGACACAGCGTAAATATACTTCACATACGTATACGCCTTGGTTCACGTGTTAACATCTTTGTGACAATCCGACTTCCGACTGCCAACAGGCGGGATTTGACGGGATTGTCACTGTCAAGATAGCCAAATCGCGGTACGTCGTCGGCCGACAGTTTTTGGCAGCCGTTCGGCCCTCGGAACTGTTCGAGGTTTCGCGGTGACGATTCCGTTTCGAAATTAATGTCGTGGCTCGCCGTGAGCAGAAGGGAGAGGCCAAGCTCGGCGAGAAGGTGAAAGTGAGGATCGTTCGTAGACATAACCTGTGACCGAGCTGTATGCACGGTTACCGAGGAATTCGTCGAATTCACGGGGTTGCGACACCGTTTCTCGAGAACTCGTTGACATGATCCTACCGAAGTGTTGCATTCTCGATAAATGATCTGCCAAAAACGGGAGTGGGAACGGGAAAATATGGAGACCTGCAACGAAGGAGGCGACCGGAGTCCGTCTGAGATCGCGATAACCCATAGGAGTTGGTCAGAATTGAGAGGCGTTGTCAGCGATCTACGGAGAGAATTATCCGGAGTATCGGTCGGTTCTGTGCCCGGATCTATAACGTTTCGATCTTTACCAGATGGACGGTAAGGAACATTGCTCGACCCATAGTTTACCCATTTGACTCAGAGACTCTACGTTTCTTCTACGTTTCATTCTCTTTTTGCAAACAAGAAATGTCTATTGTTCCAGGACCAGAATATATTTTCTTAGTAGCCCGAGTAACGGATGGGAGACCACATTGCTTTACGTGGACATCTCGCATTCTGATCATGCTAACGGATATCGTCTTCATTGGCAACCGATCATAGAAGCAAATTTTCAAACGTAACATCTAATGAGTAATCCACAGTGATAAAAAGAAGAGCTATTTTATCTCTCTATACCTTTGTTTGCAGGGTTTCTAGTACCAAACGATTATCGAGAGAAGAACAGTTATTGTGGGAAAGGAAAAGATTAGCTACGTGGGGCATTACTAGTTATGAGATTCATTTAGATAGTGGGAAGTTGGTTTTTCCAGCTGCGAGCAGCCTTTATCAATGTATAGATACAGGATTTATGGTAATTCTTTTTTCAGCCACTTTCCAATTTACCTATAAGATTTAAATAACGTTAAACGTTTCTACATCAGGCTGGACCTCTTTTTCCATCTGAGATTCGTATGTCAACGTCTGGTGCGAAATTATCTCCTCAAATTTGTCCGTGGAATAATGCATTAATCGCTCACACGTGTTCGGGCGATTTGTATTTATCCCATAGCATCACGGGTTCCTCTGTCAGATTGACTCACGCAAGGAAAGGCGGTAAAAGTCTAGCGAACGATCCTCTTACCGCTGGAACTCCGTCTTACGTGATGCAAGAAGAGTTTACCAGGTTTGTGAAATATGAATTGGTACCCGCATGGTTTACGGAACGCGATCAATTTATCTAGGTATACCGGGTATTGGTGGCAACCAAAATCCAAGGACGGTATTTATAGAATAGTGTACGAAGAGATCGATGAGAGCGACGTAAAAATATTTTGTTTCCCTTCGACGTTGAATTCCGAGGAAATCGACGAGTTCAGATTTCCCAGGGCTGGTACACCGAACGCTAGAAGTAATCTCAAGATGGTGCAATTCCGATTGACCGAAACATTACAAATCGTTGATACTGAAATTTTGGAACTCCAATATCCGTTGCACGTCATGTTTCCGTGGATGGAGTACATGGTAAGGGTCGGATGGACACCCGACGCTCAATAGTAAGTGAATTATTTTGCGTTGCTTCGTTTGTTTCGAAACGTTCGTTTCTACAATATATCCTTTTATGACTACAGTGTTTGGGTGCAACTGTTGGACAGAAAACAGCAAAGACTCGAATTAGTTTTATTGTCTGTGGATAATTTTTGCGAACCACCGCCTAACGTTTATAATTCGGAAAATCATTTCACGCCATCGTCGGCAAGCGTTCAGGTGATATATTCCGAACAGAGCTCGATCTGGATCAACGTTAACGACCTCCTCTACTTTTTACCGTCCGATGATTCGGCCGAAGTGAAGTTTCTCTGGGGTAGCGAGGAATCCGATTTCAGGCACCTTTATTTAATAACGTCCAACATAGCGGGTAATCCATCAAACGAATACGATGTAATCAATTGCATATTCATATATTACATTTTCCTCGATCTGTTCATCGCAGGTCTGAATAATGAAGTTGAAGAACCTTTAGATAAAATGGATAGTATGTTCTTGCAACCTCGAGTCACTTCGAAAGTAGCGTTGACCCAAGGAGACTGGGAAGTATTGGGGAAAAAATTATGGGTGGACGAAATGAACTCGATCGTTTACTTTTGTGCTTTGCGCGAAGGTCCATTAGAACAGCACGTATATGCTGTGTCGCTTCGACGACCGCTAGAAATAAGATTACTCACGAGACCAGGCTACAGTCACAATAGTATATATTTTAATAAAGAGTGCACGATGCTGGTGACCGTCTACAGCTCTATCAAAACTCTACCCACTTGTCAGGTACAATTATTCTACGGACAAATCTAGGCGAGCTAGTCGCGTATTTCGATTGATCTTTTCTTTTCTCAGGTCTTTAAAATATCGCAATCAGATTGGACAGTGGAAAGTATTTCTCTGACTCCCGTCGGTTATCTGTTAGAACCATCCGTCCCTGAATCAGAATTATTCGCTCCGGAAATTTATACGCATAAGATATCGTCCGGAGATACGATTTACTCGATGATCTTTAAACCTCATAATTTTCAACCTGGTGTAAAATATCCTACGATATTGAACGTATATGGCGGACCCGAAGTGCAATTAGTATCAAACACGTTCAAGGTACGCATTTACGATAAGAAACAATGTCAAGTCCGATGCAAGGGAGAATAAAACGTTCTACATGCATATCACAGGGAATGAGGCATTTAAGGATGCATATGTTGGCTGCTCAAGGTTATTGCGTGGTGCTAATCGATTCTCGTGGCTCGCATCACAGAGGCTTAATATTTGAGAGTCATTTACAACATAGAATGGGATCCGTCGAATTGGACGATCAGGTCGAAGTACTAAAATGGTTAGCGGAGACTACTGGTTACATCGATTTAAATCGTGTGGCGATACACGGTTGGTCTTACGGAGGATATCTAAGTCTAATGGGCCTCATACAACATCCAGAAATATTCAAGGTAATTTTGTTCTTCAACGAATTCGTCGACTTTCTTTCGTGCATACGTATATACGCGTATGTGATCTTATAGTTAGCCATTGCTGGTGCACCAGTCACTTCTTGGAATTTTTACGATACTGGATATACCGAACGGTATATGGACTTGCCTCAAAACAATCCTCACGGATACATGTCTGGATCGGTTTTGACGTACGTGGACAAATTCCCGGACGAGGAAAATAGATTGTTGATTATTCACGGACTCATAGACGAGAATGTACACTTTTTCCATACGAGCCAATTGATCAATGCCCTCGTAAAGTCTGGGAAACCATATCAGCTACAAGTTTATCCTAACGAAAGACACAGTCTCAGAAGTCTGGACGCTAGTAAACACTACGAAACTACGTTACTGTCATTCTTGCAAAATCATTTATAAATCTATCATTATTTTTATTCAAGTATATAGTCACAGCGATATAACCGCTGTTTCTAATATTTTAAAAGTTTAAGTGACTGCCATTACGTTTATGTACATAGATTAAACATAGTAAAAGTCGTTTGTGTTGTTTCGTTCGCGATGGTGACTTGCCTGACGTAAATCTCGCGTCTCGTGTGAAAAAGTCTGAAGTTACTATTACGTTAAACAGTATTATAATTTTACTGATGAAACCGATCGCAATAAAAAAGTTACTGAAAATTCTGTGCACCTACGAAGAATAGTATTCTCCTCTGTTTGTAGAGATACAAGGAACGATGAATGTAAATATTAAAAATACATCAATGCATTCGGGCATGCAGCCATCGCGAAACGTGTGCTAAACATAATTTGCAACATCTTTAACGAGTTATCGTAGTTTTACGACTGTAAGATTTATTGCTATTTTTTTAAGAAAATGGACAATACTCGCAATTTTCTTTGTACATATTATAGATAAGGATCATACGATCTGTATTAATCATTTTAAAATCTTCTCTTGATTGTACTTACTAAGCTATATATAGATATATATTCATATTTTTTGCCAGAAATGTATGTACCTTGTGGCTGTAACGACATCATGCTTGACTGTGCGTGTGTGTATATAAGCGAGCAATCAAACGTGTTTTTACAATAGATTATTCGTCGATACGAAGTATTTGCGCAGGAAAAAGTATTCGCTCTATTCCATGGTCGCAACTAAATCTAATAACTGATTATTCGTCAATAAATTTGTTATTTTCTATTTTGGTATTGCGTGTCCCGTTATTATCGTCGTATCCAAGGGGTTTAAGCGTAATGCTGGAAACAAGAACTCAGCCGGATATTTAAGAAATATTAAAAGTAACTATATTTTCTTACATTACAAACAAGTACATCATTGGGAGCTAGCGAAAGTTTTCGTCTTTCTATTTAGGAATTTATATAAATATTTAATTCTCTTCTTCATGTCCCGCCACTTGGATGGCCTAGCTATTGGAAATATACCATTCTTCCACATCTTCTCTTTCCTCAACAAAACTTGATATTCTTGACCCTTGACACCTCTTAACCAAGACGGTACGTTGTATGAAATTTTCGTCGGATCAAGTTGATCGGTTCCCAAAATATCGATGTAATCGTTTTGACCGAACAAAGCTCTCCTCTCCACCCATACATCCTTCGGTCTGTATATCGGCATGCTTTTTACCCTCCTATCGTCGCGTGGTAAAAGTCCTCGCATGTCTATGGGATCCTTGTACCCGTAACGTCTTACGAGCGGACCTTTTGCCACCTTCTCCGCATGGTACCGAAATCTCACAGGCATTATTTGTGGCGTCCAAATTTTAATGCTCGTTCGTATTACGTTTGTAAACCACGTCATGTTGAATGTTCAATTAGTATCACTAGTTTATGATCTCGCTTTAGATTCTATTTAACAGGCATGCCTTTTATGCGTCTGTAAAACAGAGTTACGTGTATTACTTGGTCTATGAGTCCTTCTTAATGTAATATCACTTTATTTCTTACGCGTATGATTAGACAGTAGAATAACACTACCAGAGAGGAAATGAGAGCAATGTCGAATTCGATAGTGCTGCCAAAGCTAAATTTTGTAGGGATCTGATACATTCAGTTCCACGTGCTTTGATAAAAGATTTCTAGATTTACACGCGTTTTCGTAGAAACCGGCAAACATCTTCGTAATACGCTAATTAAGACCGATCGATCGGTGCATCATGTGCCATTCCTATAATTTTGCTACATAAGTATACACCGGCGATTTTCTACGCTCCTTTAGCCTGACCGTTTACATATGTATACAATTATACATAGATATGTATACGTGTTATACTATATAGTAGAAAACGTGATTGTGTCAACGTGTGATTAAAAATCACGTAATTCGTGTTCGTGTCTGTGATCTACGCGGGTGATTTCTGTTGACAAAACAGCAGCGTGCAGTATTTTAAAGGTACTCGGCACAGAACTCGACTCGTTACGAATGGCATCGAAATTTGTTTACGCATTAAATATCGATGCACCGCTGGCCTTAAATGTGTCTTTACTTTAAATGTAACCTCACATACCGGTTGCGAGAAATTATGAGCACATTGTCGTACGAAGAAAGTTGAGTTTCGTAAAATAATAAATAAAAACTAAACGTAATTATGGAATGGGAAGTACGTTTTCTGACGATATCGACGCTGCTGGTCGTCTTCTGTGTACACAGTCTACGGAGTTTAGAAGTTATTTATGCGATAAATTCTGGAGGAGAAGGACACACTGACAGTTATGGGATTCGTTACTCCAAAGACCCTTTGATGGGCAAAGTTGGGACAGCATCTGATTACGGGAAACAATTAATTATCGGCAGGGTGAACGCAATTGATCAGATCTTGTATCAAACCGAACGCTATCATCATAGCACCTTCGGATACGATATTCCTATCAGCGGAGACGGTGATTATGTAATGATATTGAAGTTCTGTGAGGTTTATTTCAACTCTCCAAACATGAAGGTAATCATATATATTTGTTCCTATAAATATCTCTTTTAAGTATCTCAAAATATAATTCCGTTAATTATCGTAGCTTCATGTTCTAGGTGTTTGACGTGGTCTTAAATGGAGATCATACAGTTGTCACTGATTTGGACATCTTCGAGAGGGTCGGTCGTGGCATAGCTCACGATGAATACATCCCATTCAAAGTCCAGAATGGGAAATTAATATACAACGATGAGGAATCTGATATACTAGCTGGAAAGATCAGAGTCGAATTCATAAAAGTATTATACCTTCTTTCAAAGCCTTTTCTATTAATATTTTCTACAACTCGATTTAACTGGTGTTTAACAATTAATTCTAGGGTTACAGAGACAACCCAAAGATAAATGCCATTGCTGTGATAAAGGGAAATATAGAAGGTACTATCCTTGTTTTGTAGGATGTTCGGAATCATGTGATATCCTCTTGATGATTTTTAGATATACCACAGTTGGGTCCGATTCCACAGGAGCCGGAAGAGTATCATAATATTCAGGAAGACGAGGAGGAATCTACCGTTCGCAGCCGCCACACAAGCGGACCCAGGACACCAGATCCTTACTCGATCGACGATTCCGCAGTGATGTTGCCAGTCTTCGTAGCTCTTGGGGCTTTTATCCCTTTACTATTTTGTCTATGTAAACTATAGGCAGCGAAATCTTTTGCACACGAATGCCTTGTACTTAAAAAGGATGATAGTATTCTAATCAGCTTAGGTGAACATAGCGCGCGGATGCGGCGCCAACGTTGATCGTGTATATAGAAAGGATATCCTTGTTTTATATGCCACATCATCGCATTTTAGTTATGTATATGTATACATATATAAAGCTGTTTATTATTAATTTAATTAAACGAACATATCTATATATATTTTTATGTACGACGAACAACTGAAATTCTAAATGACATGCATTAAAGACTTCGAAATGACGAAAAGTTGTGCGCGTTCACGACTTTTGTTACCATTTTAATGTGTTCATTTGCGAGTTATTTAATTTTTTTATTGTTATGTATGGGGTGTCAATTTATGGATGTAAATCGTTTACATTTTTACAATGTATAGCTCTTTGGTGTTCGTATTCTTAATCCTTTCTTTCCCAAGTGTTCGAAACTACGGAAAGAAGTGTCGCTATTCGTTTCTTCCAGTCCTAATTATTTTCCACGTGACATAAATTTTAATAAGCTTTTGTTGGCGGAGATGTCTTCTATTTAATATCGAACACGAAGGAAATTGAGAAAGAAAGGATCGATGCGCTACAGGTACAGACATTCATTTATCCAAAAGAAAATGTTCGTTCTGGATTATATGAAGTTCTTTTTTTAATACAATATAGAAAATAGGAATAAAAGTACACGGTACAACAAATTATACTGTACTTTGTTAGACGCACACGAAATGTCATTGATTGAATTGTGAAATTCAGCAGAAACTAAATCTGAATGGAAAGAATTTATGTACATATTTTTATATTCGATCTATTATGTGTATTTAGTTAAAAGAATGTAAACGAGTCCACCGAATATGTCAATGTGATTTAAATTTCTTGCGGATTAAGATAAATAAAGCTGTTAATATTATCGAAAAGTGTATCATTTTTAACTATTAATATAGTAATATCTTTTATATTTTCTGAATACTAAATGAAATTTTTATACAGAGGTCTTAGGCACTGACGTCTTCTATCAGAAACGTCCTGTGCATTTTTTTTCTAACTCCGGTATTTAACGAGTTAGATCGGTGCGTAGAATAAACGTGCTCTGAAGGATACGAAATATTTTATTGGCAAACGATGACAGTGAAATCTAAACGAGAAAGGGATATGCAAAATAGAAGAATTCGTATTTGTAACGCGAGTGAAAGTGGGGGACCACGAACCCACCTCAGGATGTGGTCGATGATCGATCGTGTGATTCGCACCGATGTGATCAACAGAAGAAAGCAGTTAGTTCAATTGACTGTCGAGTACTATACTGCGAAAGGTACGCAGCATACAGTCAGTTAGAAAAATTTACGTACGTTCGATATTTCGAAAATTCTGTATGTTAAAATAAAATTTTCCAAACAGCGTTCAAAAGAACAGATTGCATTGATATGCCTATGTTGATGATCGAGCTCGCGAAAATCAGTGGAATCGATTACTTAACATTTTATCATTGACTAATGGTTTTATTAAAATTTCTATTTTCATTAATAAAATCGTGTGGTCTTTAAAAGGTGTATTAAAACAATTGAAATGGAGAGAGCGCGGAAACTTCTCCCGTAGATTGTACAGATATTTACTAGTTACATATGTATATGTGTACGTCGGCTGGTTCTTAATGGGAATAAGCTCATTCATCCCATATGAAACGGAAGATCACGTGACTGCCGATCGTCTAGGCCTTTGATGTATGCTCATCACTGACAATTAGCTGTCAATTCAAGGCCGTATGCTTACGCACGTCTCCAAAACCCCAAGCACCAGAAGTCTCGAGTGGCAATCATCCCTCGCCTCGCCTCGCTAAAAGAAAGAAGTACCAAAATCGTATTCGAACCCTTGCCCCACTGTACTCGAGCAATCGTCGTTTTCGAACGTTCCTCTTATCACTCGATTCGTTCAATCTGCTTTCCCAGTGCAACTAACGAAAATTTTCTATTTGCTCAACTTGCTTTTCTTTACTAATTTTTTACGCTTTTTAGAATATATTTCGATATTTTGAGAAAAAAAAATTTTTCAATTTTTCCGAGATTTTTCCAAGGGGTACACCCCTTCAAATTTTGCGAAAT